GTCTTATTTAAAACAAAATGAGGGCTGTTTTCTGTTGCTCTATCCACCCTTCCTCCTCCTCACAGAAGCAGGAGTGTAATTCTACACAGGCAGGACTGATGCTGATGGACACCTGCATGCACACACCCACACAGGAGCACACATGCACACACAAAGATTCTGAGCATGTCAAGTGGAAAAAGTTTTGCTGGCATTGACCAAACCCCTGGAGTCAACAGTTAATCTAAATTTAGAGGGTAGGATATTCTGATCTTGAGTCTATGTTAAAGCAATCTATTGTCATGTTCTGGAATAAGAGAACTTTGGATTGTATCATCACTTTTTTACTTTAAAATTCTAGAAACAACATCAAAAAAGCATTATTTTTCATTTTCTGGGATAAGGCAGGAAGGACTCCAGATTCGAATGTAGTTAAAAGTAGAGCGATTCCAGCAACAGTAAAGGCAGCTCACAAAGCTGCCAGCGTCTGAGGTATCATCAATGAGATGCTGTCCATCCTATTGGCCTAGCCGATACTAACAAAACAGGAAGCTTATGGCTCTGCACAATAAATTTCCACTAGGGCAAGATAATTCTAGGCCTACAGTCAGGGCTGGGGTAGCAGGGCACTGTCAAGTATGGAACATTTAGGTGACGAGGGTGCCCGAGTCCCTGGATACGCCTTTCCACTTGCTTTGTCATTGCAGCCTGGTCAACTGTCTTCTGCAAATAAGGAAGAAACAGCTTTTCTGTATCAGCACATTTAACAGAGAACCCAAAAAATGCTTACCACATGATGCCATGAGCTTAGTCCCCTTTGCTAATCACTTTATTGCTTGCCATTGCCTGTTACAGCCTGTGCATACACACTCACTAGACATTGCTGATTTTGACAATGATTTTTTTTTCCTTTTTAATCTCAGAAGAATAACATGGTAAAGGTGGCTACACTAACATACAGAGAGTAATTTGGAAAATCACCACCACAGACATTTCTCAAGACCAAAATACTGTGAATATTCTGTTGCTCTTCTATTTCTGAAATCAGTCCTAAAATGTTAAGATATTGCTTTTCCATGACACTGTCAGATAGCAAATCAACAGCCCACAATTCTACAGTTGTGGAAATATGTTAACTCTCCTAGACACACTATTGATGGCCTGTAAGTCCTCTCTTCAATAGTTTCTGGGATGCCCACTTGTTCCACTGTTGGGAAAAAGGATTCTACTCTCAGCTAAGTTCCAGGAGACAGACCCTCTTTACGATGTCATTTCCTATCTATTTACCAAAACAAAAGGCTCCTGGCTACCTTTCACACCTAACATCAGGCCAAGGCTGTGAGGAAAAGAAAACTAAGGTGAACACCCACCATCAATAGACTAAAAATCACCTAGATCATACAACGTGTTTTTTTTTTTTTTTTTTTTTTTTTTTTTTTTTTTTTTTTGGTGTTTTTTATTGTTTTCCTAAAAGTGCCCAGGTGGGCTTAAGGCTGTCAGACACACGCACATCTACTGCAACAAGGGCTTCTTCTTTCTACTCCATCTACATGTATTGGGGGGGGGGCGCAGGAAGAAAGAGAGAAGATGGGGAAAATCTACCTCCTCCAAATCCCACCACAAGGAGACCTATGTGCCAAGCATAATGGAAGTGTGTTCTCCCCAACAACTGGCTCCACACTGGTTAATATTCTGCTGGTTTTCCTCAGACATCTATTTTGAAAACAGTTTTAAAAACACAGGATATTTTGAAATAATTCAATCCTGGCAGAAATCAAAACTCCGAAACTAGGAGCAAAATCATCTTTCACTAAATTAATCCCTTTTCCTTTCTTTTTTCTTTTCTTAAACATTTTATTCGTGTTATAGAGGGATTTCTTTATCGTTTGCTCTCTTCTCAATCATTAGGAGTTGAGGAGTACTGAATCCATCACTACTTTGATGACACAGGTAAGATTCCAGATTCACATTTCCAGGTACCAAGAGTTCCTTCTTACGCCACGATCCAGTCAGCATTTCTCTACTTCTACTGAACACAGCAATGCCCATTGGTATCTCTGAATCGTAATCGTATCTTAGGTCGGTATTTCTCCAAGTAAAGCAGCTGTTTGGAATTGAATGCTCCCCTTCTTTTTCTGAAAATACAATAATGGTACATTATCATGTAGCAAAGAGCTGCAGGCCTTACTGAAATATACTATTTACTTACGGCATAATGCCTTCTAGCTAGCTCTTCCCAGATGAAAACCTGCATATTCCCCATAACACATCACTTTAAAAAGTTGAGACATTGCCAGCCTTTAATCCTAGCACATGGGAGGCAGAGGCAGTCGGATCTCTGTGAGTTCGAAGCCAGCCTGGTCTATAGAATGAGTTCCAGGACAGCCTCCAAAGCCACAGAGAAACCCTGTCTCCGGGAGGAAAAAAAAAAGTTGGGACATGAACTTGGGTGCCCCCACCCCCTGTCTGTGTAGTCCTGGTTGTCCTGGAAGTTATTCTGTAGACCAGGCTAGCCTCAAATTCAGAGATCTCCTGGCCTCTGCCATCCAAGTTTGGTTAAATTAAAGGCATGTGTTACCACCACCTGGCTAAGAATATGTTTCTTTGGCTATGACTGTAGTTCATTTAAACAGAGCAGCAGGGTTTAATCAAGAACACCTGACTACACTCTTTCCAATTAGTTTAACAGATTCTTCACATCAGAATGAGAAACAAGTAGTTAGTATGGTTTTAAAAACTAAAACTAGAACATAGGAAGGCAAAGCCTCATGGTCCGGACAGACTGGGGTGGCAAACAGTGGGATACCACTGTCTCAGAGCTGAGAGCCATACATTGCACGTCTCCTGTCAGTCTGCTTTTTCCTCTTAATTTTGTTAAAGAAAGGAACAGTATGGCCTACAGTGTCAGAGATCTCAGGTTACTACCATTGTAATTTTTAATGAGAACAGGTCATTCAAGAGTACCAAATGGGAGCTGGAGAGATGGTTCATTGGCTAAGAGCACTCACTGTTCTTCCAGAGGTCCTAGGTTTAATTCCCAGCACCCACATGGCAGCTCATACCATCTCTAGCTCCAGTACCAGGGGATCTGGCATCCTCACAAATATATGCACATGAAATTTAAAAAAAAAGAAAAAAAGAAAAAAGAAAAGAGGACCATGTGATTAATCTGTTCCTCCTCCTTTTTGCCTGCTGGTCATATGGAATCCACTGAAAGCAGCACTGGTCAATCGACTTATTGTCAAGATTCCTAGACAGCCAACCATATACTTTCTTGCCCAAATTTGACATCTATATTAGAAGAACAAATCTTACAAACTTCTGGTACTCTCTGTCACTTGCCTTTACCTTTTTCTCTATTTTCAAAAACTATTTTAAGCCCAAACCATCCAGTTCTTACTTATTCCAAATAACTCTTTTACATAACTTCTTCCTCATGCATAGCCCCACTTGGGGTCTCTGAACATACAACTTCATACTTACTGTCTTATAAACTGAACAGCATCTTCATACTTCATTCCACATTCAATCAACGCAAGTGCAACCAGCACAGGAGCCCTGCAGAGAGAAGGCCATCGTAAGTACCCACAGCCGTGAGAGTCTATAAGAGGTTTTTAACTGAAAGCTTACACGCTACCAATATGACCTTTGTGCTGGAGTGCTAACACAGGTCTTTAATCCTAGCATTTGGAAGACAAGCAGATCTCTGTGAGTTAAGGACAGCCTGGTCAACACAGTGAGTTTTAGGGCAGCCAGGACTATAAAAAAGGAGACTCTGTCTCCAAAACAATTTACAAATAAGGAATGAGAAAAAAAACAAACAAACAAACAAACAAAAAAAAAACTCAAGTTTTTCTCCCCTCCAACTTGGTAGTTTCTTTTCTTCTGAGACAAGGTTTCACTGTGCAGACCAGGCTGGCCTCACACTCACTCACACTCCACAGGCATCCTTGCCTCTCCCTCCCAGCACCACCATACTCAGCTTCTCTATTCCCTCCTGCACTCCCCACCCCGGCCCCAAGAAAGATGTCTCAGAAAGCACATTAATAGGACACCATCTCTGACTACCTGAGACAAGCTGTAGAAATAAAGACACCTAGTAAAGCCTCACACCACCTTTAGTCTTCAAGGGAAGGAAGGAAACTTTGAACCTCTTGAAGAAACCTTGCCATACTAAGTCCTAAGCAAGCTAATGGTCCACGTCACCACCACCTTGAAGGCAATGGTACCTCACAGTTCTGAGTCACAGTGCACATCATAAATTGGCATTTAACCTTCTGTTGATCAAAGTGTTAAAACACTATCTCAAGCAATACTTGGCAAGAAAAAAAAAAAAAAGATGATAAAATTAGTCAATTCTCACTATCCATACATCACTGCTCAAGAGTGTAAACTAACCTTCTGTTAAATCCCCTTTCATTTTGACCCAACCATATATACAAGTACTCTAATCTCTAATGTAAATTTTGCTGCCCACTTAACAACCTAAATCTTTATTTCTTGAAATAGGGCAGGGACCCTCACTACATGCAGTATAGCATTAGAATCAGATCCAGACCCAACACAATTGGCTCTTTTTTTTTTTTTTTAAAGATTTTATTCATTTATTATGTATACAACATTCTGCTTCCATGTGTATCTGCACACCAGAAGAGGGCACCAGATCTCATAATGGTTGGTTGTGAGCCACCATGTGGTTGCTGGAAATTGAACTCAGGAACTCTGGAAGAGCAGTCGGTGCTCTTAACCTCTAAGCCATCTCTCCAGCCCCACAATTGGCTCTTAAGACAGCTTATTACACTGGCATTTGCTCATTTCCTTTCCAACAATTTAGTATCATTTAGTTACTAAATGCAAATTCTATCAAGGTGAAACTTTCCGTTGGCTTACTTAGATACAATAATGAATTTTTAAGAGTTAAAGAGTTTTTACCTTCCCAATCCTGCCACACAATGCACTGCAACACAGCAACCTGGCTCTTCACGAAATTTGGTTTTTAACAGGTTTAGCCAATCATCTACTATTTGATTAGGGGGTGGAGCTCCATCATCAAACGGCCAATCCTGAAAAGAAATGACTTTTTACATTAAACTGGTATGTTCTCAGGGACGAACATCCTAATACAAATGAACTGGAAATATTAGCCAGGGCAGGCAGGCTTAACTGAATTAACATATCACTTAAGCTTATTCTTTTGTTTTTTTCTGAGGTTTCTCTGTGTAGTCTTAGCTACAGGCTAGCCTTGAACTCACAGACAGCTGCCTGCCTCTGCCTCCCAGGTTCTGGGATTAGAGACACGTGCCACCACCACCTGGCTTTGTGTACCTTTTTTTTTTCCCCCTTTTTTTCCCTCCGGTTTTTTCAAGACAGGGTTTCTCTGCAGCTTTGGAACCTGTCCTGGAACTTGCTCTGTAGACAGACCAGGCTGGCCTCAAACTCAGAGATCAGCCTGCCTCTGCCTCCTGAGTGCTGGGATTAAAGGCATGAGCCCGGCTAACTATTTTAAGTATCCTCTTTTCTTTAAGGTCTCATGTAGTCTAAGCTGGCCTTGAACTTGAGGATGAACTTGAATTTCTGATCCTTCCCAATTCCATCTCCCAAATTCTAGGATTATGGGCATGTGATGAAATACCCTTCCCCACTTCTTCCTTTTGGTGATGTGACAGGGTCTCCATATAGTCTTGCTAGTACTTGAACTCTAAAGATCCCTCTTGTTTCCCTATTGCTGGAACTAAAGGTGGAACACAAGCATATCCAGTCTCCCTTTCTGTCTAGCCATCAATCTGAGTTGTCTTTCAGCCCTGCTTGCATTTACCAAACAGCACATTACTGCTTGTCTAATCTTCCTTGATACCCAGGCAAGAGTTCCTAGTAACTCCAACATAAATGGGTAGGAGTCACCACATTTTATGCACTCGTTCCCTCTTCCTAACAGCAAATGTTTGAACCGTCAACTATGCCTCATAATTAAAGGGCTGTCAGTGTTACTAATGATTGCCAGTACAGTTAAACTGTAAACAAGCACCCTAGTGGACGCTTACTTCCTCCAGCACATCCTTAAAGTGCACCTGGATAAGAAACAATACACAGAGCATGCTGCCTTTACTAACAATCAGTTTCTTTCTGTGTGCATGCATTCGTTTTACTTTTTTAGACAGGGTCTCAGTATACAGTCCTGGCTGGTCTGGAATTCCTTACGTAGACCAGGTTGGCTTCGATCTCACAGAGATTCACCTGCCTCTGCCTCCCATTCCCAGCTCTTTTGTTTGTTAAATGTAACTCAGATTGGCTTCCCCTCTCCTCCTGCTTCAGTTTCCCAAGTGTTGGGACTGAAGGCATAGCAAACATAACAGCAGCCTTAAAAAAAAAAAAAAAGCATTAAATAATTTAGAAATATCAGAACCTGCACTAACGATACTGACATCACCAATTATCCCAATTCGCCTATGACTTGCAAGAGCATTTAAACAATTGGAAGGTCTTTATCTGAGGACTATCCTTCTAGAGTGACTCTTTCCAAAGACCTCTTTACTGGGGAACTATAAATAAATCTGTGTGGGAAAAGGTAACCTCATTTTTTTCAAGTTTAAGTTAGACCTTTCATTTTATCAGGCATAGCTATTTAAAACAAAACAGAGAGCCAAACTTAAAGGATGGGAATAAATCCCAGACCTAACATTATCTTCTACAAACTAATTTAGGTTCTGTAGTTCATTCTATTTTATGGTGTTTGCCAAAATCACTGATTCAAAGACCATGGTCAATCCAAAGTTACCTCATGCTGCTCATTAATCATAACAAGGTGATTTCTCATGTGCCTACTAAAGAACACACAAGAGTGAAAAATTAACTTTTATTTAGCTTAATTTCAGAATCTTCTGTTTTTTTGGCCTTGGCCTCCTTCATTGCAACCAATATAGTCCTGAATTTGTAATTTTCCTGCTCAGCTTTCTGCTGGGTCAGAGATGCACCACAGTTCAAAATTTTTAACTCTTTCCTTAAAATACACAGGACTGGACGGACTTGATGGCTCCACAAATGTATACAATAATGGAAATTTTATTTATAAAAGTAAAAAACAAGGCCAGTACATATAAAGTATAGGGTTCACACCCCCTCCAAAAAAAAACCCTGCATAAACCAAGGCACCAGCACACACCTGTGACCCCAGCACTGGGGAAGTAAAAGAAGGACAATCAGTTAAAAGTCATCCTCAACTACATAGTGAGTCTGAGGCCTACCTACAACATCAGGCTGCCTCAAAAAATAACATCACAGGGTTGTATTTTACACATGTATTCTTACCAACAGTTCCAGCCCATGGACTAGAGTATTTTTTTTTAATTTTTTAAGATTTTTTTTAATTTATTATGCATACAATGTTCTGCCTACATGTATGCCTGCAGGCCAGAAGGGGGCACCAGATCTCATTATAGATGGTTGTGAGCCACCATGTGGTTGCTGGGATTTGAACTCAGGATATCTGGAAGAGCAGTTAGTGCTGTTAACCTCTGAGCCATCTCTCCAGCTCCCTAGAATCTTTGAGAATAGAATACAAGCCAATTGTTCCAATGCCAAGCAGTGAAACAATTTTTTTTAAAAAAACACAATGTTAATGGTAGTTTTAATGTTTTTACTAAAGCAAAAATGAAAAAAGTATGGATCACAGACATAAAATGACTACCTTACCAACAAGGAAATTTATCTGCATCAACTGCCTTCCAAGCTACTAATCAGGTTGGTACCTGAGACCACAGAATCTACCTCTCCTTATTACTTTTCCCCAGCTACTTACAAAAGCTCCAGTTCTCTTCCTACCACATCTCCCTCACAAAGGTTCAAGAGCAATTATTCAGAGAAATGGTAAGAGTTTTTTTTTTTTTTTTTAGCTAGTCCACTCTCTTATTCTCTGTAAACAAACAGCATCATTAACATGCTTGCTCTGTATTTGAACTGAATTGAACTAGCTCTAACCCTACTAGAGCTCTTAAAGAAACCTATCAAAGAGCTACTCTGTACCAGGATGTCTTCTCCCAGCCTTTAGCTTTTTCTCCCGCCTTTTTATCCACAAAATACTAAGTCACTAATCTAGTACTTACAAAAAGGAGAAGATATTTCCATATGAAGTAATTCTGATGGAAATTATTTTATTATATTAAAATTAGTAGGCCAGAAACAAAAGCTGAATACTGCACTAATCTCCAAAATATAAAAATGACAATCTTCACTGGGGGATGAGGGGGGCTCTTGAGACAGGGTCTCACTGTGGTAGCCTTGGCTGGCCTAGAGCTCACTATGTAGACCCAGATGACTTCGAAATCAAAGACAGCCTCCCTTCTGCCTCTTCAGTGCTGGAATTAAAGGCAGGTGCTGCCATACCCACCCTCTTTTTTTTTCTAAAATTTCTTGAGACATGTTTTTTTTTAACTTGGGTTCCAAGGGCCAATCTCAGGTTCTCATGCTTTGACAGAGCACTTCACTCTCTTGAGACATTCCCCAGTCCCCAATTTCCATGTTTTAGAAATAAGTGTGTGCTCAATTTTGCCTTGTTTGTTGAAAATACATTGCAGCTGTAGACTCCAAACACACAATGAATAATGCTGCTTATGTATTAACCCAAAGAAACTCTAGAAGACTGCTATCAAAAGTACCAACTTCATAAATATCAGTGTTTGAAAATGTCTATTTGAAGAAACAAACAAAGACACTGTACACTCACTAGAACGTGGATTCCTTCTTTTTCAACTGGAGCTTTATCATATGTAGCATCACAAACTCGAACCAAAGTTGTCACTCCATACTTCTTAAGTTCCTTTAAAGAAAAACAAGTTATCAAGGAACTTGTTTCTGGGGATCTGAAACCTGGTTTTTAGAAATGTACTATTACAAACTGAAACTACGCAGTATCATTCTTAGGCAAAGCTCAAAACTGATCTCACTGCAGCAATACATAAACATTACACACACTAGCCAGGTGGTGCTGTTGACAACTTTAATGCCAGCACTCGGGACACAGAGGCAGGTGGATCTCTGTGAGTTCGAGGCCAGCCTGGTCTACAGAGTTCATTCCAGGACAGGCTCCAAAAGTTACAGAGAAACCCTGGAGAGGGGAGTTGGCGGGGGGGGGACGGGACGACACCACACATACTCCTTGTGGGAAGAGTCATCTTTCTAAAGGGCAATGTACTAGCAAAGCACAAAACCTTTTAAACATTCATACATACACTGACCTAGAAATTCTATTCTTGGGATTTCACTGAAAGGAGGTAGTAAGAACAGCTTATACAGCATCTTCATTATAGGTAGAACAGAATAGTAAACAGTAGAAATGTTTATTAATGTTCTCCCAAAAAAGAGAATGATTAAGGGAGGGATGATACACCTATATACAGATATTATGACAGCTATAAAGTAACACTAGAGATTGGGGGAATAGCTATAAATATGTGATATGGCCTTATATATATATGTATTTATAAATATACACACATATGGGGGGGGATCTAAAAGCCAGGTATTTAACAACTCAATGTTTTTTATTGTTGTTGCTTTGTTTTTTATTCTTCTAGACAGGGTTTCTTTGTATAACAGCCCTGGCTGTCCTAAAACTCACTCTCTAGACCAGGCTGGCTTTGAACTCTGCCTCCTAAATACTGGGATTTAAGGAGTGCTGCCATGCCCTGCCAATTCAATGTTTTTGATTCATGTTATTTTGCTGGTTTGTTTGGATTTTGTTGTTTGTTTTTCAAGACAGGATTCATCTGTATAACAGCCCTAGCTGTAATGGAACTGCCTTTGTAGACCAGGCTTGCTTCAAACTCACAGATCGGCCCCTCTCAGCCTCCTGAGTGCGGGATTAACACCATGCCTAACTTTTATTTTGCTTTTCTGTATGTTTTCGGTTGGTTTTTATTTTTAAGAGACAGGATTTCTCTATGTAGCCTTGGTTGTCCTGGAACTTGCTCGGTAGACCAGGCTGGCCTCGAACTCAGAGGTCCGCCTGCCTCTGCCTTCCAAGTGCTGTATGTTTTGGGTTTTGTGTGATAAGCATTCATTGCTTTTTTAAAGAGCAAGTTTAATTTTGAAATTGGAAGAAACGGTGATTTTAAAAGAGCTAGTACACAATTACACCCAAATGCCTTCCTCCTTTAAACAGAAAATACAGGCCAGGAATGGCTCTCCAGAGGCAAAGGCAGGAAGATCTCTATGAGTTCAATATCAGACAGAATCATAATATATTGAGACTCTGCCTTAAAATATTTTTTACATTTATTCATTTTTGTGTATCTGTGCTTGTGAACATACTATAGTGCACACTTGGAGATCCCAAGACAATTTTAAAATTCTAGCTCTCGACTTGTACCGTATGAGTTTGGTGGTCATTAAAGATTGGTGGTAAGTGTCTTTACCCACTGAACCACCTCACCAGCTCCCAGCTAAAAATCAAAAAAAAAAAAAAAAAAAAAAAAAAAAAAAAAAAAAAAAAAAGAATTTCAGGGGGGCCTAGAGACACAGACCTGTAATCTTTGCTACCTAGATGGCTAGACAGAAGGATCACAAGTTCAAGGCCCACCTGAGCTATGAGATTAAATTAAGGCCAGGCTTCAAAATTTAGTGAGTATATAAAAATAAAAAATAAAATTAGGGGCTCCACAGCTAGAGCATTGGCTGTTCTTCCAGAACAGTTGGGTTCAATTCCCAGCACAAATATGGCAGCTCACAATTGTAACTCTAGTTCCAGGAGATTCAACACTCTCACAGCAAAATACATGCAAGCAAAACACCAATAAAGTAAATAAATAACTTTAAAAGTTTCAAAAAAAAATAATAAGGGCTGGAGAGATGGCTCAGAGGTCAAGAGCACTGACTGTTCTTCCAAAGGACCCGGGTTCAATTCCCAGCACCCATATGGCAGCTCACAACTGTCTGTGACTCCAGTTCCAGGGGATCCAACATCCTCACACAGAAGGCAAAACACCAATTCATATAAAATAAATATAAATTACTAAAAAAAAAAAAAAAAAAAAAAAAAAAAGCTGGGTGGTAGTGGCGAATGCCTGTAGTTCCAGCACTTGGGAGGCAGAGGCAGGCATATCTCTGTGAGTTCAAGGCCAGCCTGGTCTACAACAGCTAGTTCCAGGACAGCCTTCAAAGCCACAGAGAAACCCAGTCTCGAAAAACCAAAAAAACTAAAATAAAATAAAAAGGATGGGGGACATAGCTCATTGGCAGTGTGCTTGCTTGTCAGGCATGCATGAAGTACTGAGTTCCATTTCCAATAACACTGAAGTAGGTACGGCAAAGGTCTCAAAATACATGTGCTGGGGATATGTGTAAGTCAGTGGTGAAGTTCATGGCAAGCCTGCACAGGAACCCGGGTTAAATGCACAGTACCATAAAAAAGGGTGTGGGGAGTTAAAATGACTTTCAGGGTTATCACTGGTCAGAAAATGGTGTTACAACTTTTTTACAAGAAAAATCTATTTGGCATCAGCTTTGCCCCCCATAAAATGAGAGTCCCAGCTGCTCTATTCCCTAACACATCAACAGATTTCACATTTGATGACACAATCTATAAAAGATTAAAAACTTTACATTTAAATATTTGCTAAAGTCTCTTCATTACCAAAAAGGGGGACAAATGAGACTGTTCTCCTACCTATGAGCACTTCCTTCCCCAAGTTTCTGGGTTCCTGTATTGTGATAACTACTGTTATTAAATAGTTTGGGGTATCTTTTAACTGAGATCTGAAGTATAACATGAGTTTTTTTTTTAATTATTACTTTTAATTCAGTGTGCATGAGACACATGTGTTTGTTATAGCATGCATGTGTGAGGAGGTCAGGAAACAACTTAGGGGATCAGTTATCATAGTCAAGGATTGAACTAAGACTGTCACACTTGACAGCTGGCTTCTTTACCTGAGTGTAAGTATGACAGGCTTATGTGGCAGTTCTACCAAATACAATGAGCCACTGAAGCTGAGTGGTATTATCTGTAAGAGGGAGGGAACAAGAGTGCCTGTATCAAATAGAATTTTTGTACCTTGACCTTAAAAACAAACAGTGCTCAGTGCTTACTACAATGCTGAGTACATACTGTGCTCAACAAATGTACTAGTGAATCTATAATATCCCTAAATTTCATAAATATTCTTCAGTAACAATTCAACCCAATGCAAACTATGAAAGGGTAAACATTATAGTTAGATGACACAATTTTATGTTAATTTTAATAAGATTTTAGCTATAATCAATCCCAAAAGTAGACAGATTATGCTATAATCTTACCTCTGTGAACTTGTTGAGAGTAGCATTGGTAGGGTTGTGAGTTATCAGAAAACGCATGTTCTCATAAGAGATTTCCACAGGGGCTGGACGGTTCATTATGGCAAATAAAAAGTGTGAGCGTGCGTGTGTGAGTGTGGAGGGGAAAATGGGGGGTGGGGCGGTCAATAAATCTTGAAATGTTTCTCAGCAGAAAACATTAAAAAGACCACTAAAATGCCTATTATTGATCACTATTTTCTCTATTCAACTTGTTTACTCCTTATGAAGCTTCTCTCTTCAACACAGGCAGAAGTATTCAGAATCCACTTGAATCCAAATTCAGCTTGGGTCTCAATGTCTGCAGATGGATACCTTCAGCCTCCAAAAAATCCAACTACATACAAAATTTAAGCAGCCTTTAAACTACATTTAGGCACTAGTGAGACAAGTTAAAAGTGTAGGTTCTTTTCCACTTTTGTTTACTTGATGCTTAATTTTACTGGAGTCATTAAAAGAAATATGCTTGCAATTAAAAAAAAAAAAAAAAAAAAAAAGCCTACTACTTCTGAGGCCAGTCTCGGTGTCCAGAGTCTTCAAGGCAATGTTAATTATGGCACATATATCCCCCAAGCTCACTTGTCAGCGAAAACGCTGTGCTGAGCCTGGCAGAAGTCTGCCCGCACACTCAGAATCGCCATAAATGTGCAACGTATATTCCAACGGAAAACCTGGGGGAGAAAAGCATACGTAAAAGGAAATGAGATTAAGAACAAAGTAAACATGAAGTCTTAAGTAAGAATACATTCTCTAAGAGCCCAAGATAAGTCAAAGTCACCGTGCTAAATGACAGCCACCTATGAAGATTAGGAGAAGGTGCATACATAACGAGTCTTAAACATGTCTTTTCACAACTGGTTCAATACAGTTTGTGTGAGAAAAAATTATCTCTAACTCATTTTTCAATGTTTAGAGATCTCAGAAATTTATTCAAATCATAAATTACTTAAAAACTTTCCATGGACTCTAACTGCTGAGCTCACAAAAATACTATTTTTCTGCTTTTGATAGATAGATGTTTCACATATATTCTTTGTTTACATATCTATCTGTAAATAGGCTGAGGACATTTAACAAAATTCTACTTCAAAGATTTGACTTTATTAAAATTTTAAGTGTCGCCCCCCCTCCCCAATTATGACATGGATCCATTAAGCATGGTGGATTTTTTTAAATTTTAGGGCTGGATCTATAACTCAGCTGGTAGAGTGCTTGCCTAGTTTGACCACCAGCATCTTATAAACTGGGTGTGGTGGCACATGTCTAGTAATCCTACCACCTGAAAGTAGAAACACAGAGATCAGAAATTCCAGTCATTCTCAACTTCATAGCAAGTTCAAGGCCAGCCTGGGTTTTACACTCTACTCACTCACTCACTCTCACACTCACTCTCTCCCTCCCTCTCCAAATAGCTTTTATATAAAACGAAAAGTAAAAGGATTTACCTCAAGTCACATAATGAATTAATTGAGCCTCAATTTAAAGTCTTCTATTGACTATTGGTTACTAGGTTTTAATTTATCACTATTGCCTGTTGACTCCACTCATGTACAAGCCCATCCTCTTGTTTCTAGTCCAGTTTACCCTTTTTACTATTTTTCATATCACTGCCTCAAGATTACAAAATCAGCCAAGCACGGCACAGTACTTGTAATCTCAGCTCTCAGGATGCTGAGACAGGGAAATGCCAATTTTAGGCCAACCTTGATTAGACAGCTACACAGTGAGATCCTGTATCAAAAACAATGTAGGAAACATACACCTTTAATCCCAGTACTTGGGAAGCAGAGGCCGGTAGATTTTTATATGATTGAGGCCAGCCTAGTCTACAAAGTGAGTTCTAGGCCAGCCAGGGTTATATATAGTAAGACTCTATCTAAGAAAAATAAACAACAATAATTTTAGGACTGGAGAGATGGCTCAGTGGTTAAAAGAGTATACTGCTCTTGAAAAGGACCAATTTATAACTCCCTATGAGTCCAGTTCCAGAGAAATCCAAACCCTCTGGCCCGAAAGCGCACCTGCATTCATATGTGCATAGCCAGCACACATGTACACAAATAGAACTAAAAGTAATAATAAAAGTAATCTTTCAAAAAATAATTTTATAGCTGCATGCTATAAAATGGTGCATGCATGCCTTTAATCCCAGCATTCAGGAGGCAGAGGCAGACCTCGATCTCTGAGTTCAAGGCTAGCCTGGTCTACAAAGATAGTTCCAGGACAGCCAAGGCTCTACAGAGAAACCATGTCTAGAAAAAAAAAATTAAGATTATTAGATTTATTGACTTTTACGTGTATGGGTATTTTGCATGTCTTTATAGTATATACATGTAATGCCTATGGCTACCAGAAGAGGGCCTAGAACTGGAGTTACAGATAGCTGTGAGCCACCTAGTGGGTGCTGGGGACCTGAGCAGCTAGTGCTCTTAAACAAGCACTGAGCCATCATCTCCCCAGCCCTTAAAAAAATAATTTTGGGAAAAAGACAGAGGAGCTCTGAAGATGGAGAAATGTTTCAGTGGTTAAGAGGACTTGTGGTTTTACAGAGGGCCTGGGTTTATTTCCAGCACCCACATGGCAACTAATAACTGTCTGTGGCTCTGGTTCTATCTAGAGGATCCAACACCTTCTTCTGGCCTCTGAAGCCTCTTGCACGCATGTTACGCACAGCTATACATGAAAGCAAAACACCCACAATCATTTAAAACACAAAGAAAGTATAAGCTATCTGAAGGTCAGTGGTTCCCAGGGTATTCTTCTCTCCAAATATTACTAAATCACAAGTAAGTCAGAGAAGTAGCAGAATTCTTAATTTTATTTTAGTCCTGCTGCTTTGTAAACAGTTTAATGTTTCGTTACATTAAGTCAGATGGCAAGTTCCTCTGGAAACAGGGACATGGTCTAAGTTCTTTTTCTTGCATTATCTATAAGTCACCAATAATAAAATGCTTTTTGATGTTTCAGGGCTAAAAATATAGCCCAGAGGTAGCATGACTGCCTGACAAGCATAAAACCCTGGGTTTGATATCCCAGCCCTGCAAAAATTAAAATAATACTGTAAATTCCAATACTTGGGAAGCAGAAGCATCATCAAGTTCCAGGCCAGTCAGGACTACATTTTTAGACTTTGTCTCAAAAAAAAAAAAAAAAAAGTCTCGAAAAAAAGGCTGAATATGACCAGATTTTTAAAAATTATGAAAGATATGAAAGATATACTGGAACAAGACACTGAATGAAGAAAGTGAAATACAGAGAACTTAGAACTACAAACTTTCAAACATCTTTTACTCTCACATTTTTATTTTCTTATATTCTTATAAGTGGCATTATTTATAATATTACCATGGACACAAAACTAAAACATTCCTAAAATATGGCCCAGCCTGGTGGTACACACTTTTAGAACCAGCACAGCAGAGGCAGAGGCAACCACAAAACAAATTCCTGGCCAGCCAAGACTACAGAGTGAGATCTTGTCTTAAAAAAAAAGGTAGAGCCATGCAGTGGCAGCTCACAGCTTTTAATGCCAGCACTTGGGAAGCAGAGGCAGGAGGATTTCTTGAGTTGGAGGCCAGCCTGGTGTACAGGGCAAGTTCCAGGACAACCAGGACTATACAGTGAAACTGTCTCAGGGGGGAAAAAAAACGGGGGAGGGGGGTGTCACAAGTTAAGTCCAGCCAGGTCTACATAGCAAGTTCCAGGACAACCAGGACTACATAGAGAGACAATGTCTCAAAAATAACAACAAAAAACAAATTAGGAAAAACAAAACTGCCTATGACTACTCTTATAACTCTCAATTCTAACTGTAACCTCAAACACAGGCACCTGAAGTTACACCAGACATTTTACAGGACACTCCTTGTGCAGCCAAGGATCCTTATCGAAAAGGTAGGAGAAATGCAGAGATAAACTATTCTGACCTTTTAAAAACTCAAGATCGTGTTCAAATAGGTTAAATGTTTTAAGACCAACACTATTAATTAGGAACAAATCAAGACAAGAGCCTAGCTCTCCTTACTCCTTAGTTATTTTTTTTTCCTTCCATTTTGGATGCACCCACATTTTCTTCAAGTCCCATTCTCTGCATGCAAGGCTAACTTCTCTTCAAGTATCTGCAACTGTTGACTTCTGTGAGGAAAAGATTACAAGAAACTACTCAAAAACAATGGTTTGCATACAGTGCACAGCAAAACACTTGGAAATTCTAACCTGCATTTGAATCCTTTGGTTCAATGTTATCACAGCTAATGTGTATCAGCTGAATAGAGGCAGTAAAAGGCTTGTATTGTAGTGGCAGCCAGATTTAAAAGCTTACAGTCCTAGCATTAGATTTTCTACCTAGTCTCCAGTATTTGTCTGCTGAGCAAACAAAACAAGCTTTATCCCAACTTATTCCTCCCACTTCATTTTGGAAGAACCATTTCCAGGGATAATGATAACTTTTTATTAGATTTTTCAATTCTTAAACTGAAGCACTCCAACAACAGAATTTCTGCCAAAAGAAACAGTATGTTCTATCAAAATTAACAGGCACATGATAAAAGCAAGTTTCTGTCCCACCCCTTCTCCCAAGAGTCCAACTACACATCAACAGTACAAGTTTTGCATCTAACATTTCAGTTGAATTAATGTTAACTGCAGTTGACACTCAAATGCAAAGGAAACCTGTTTTCAAAACAAAAAACAAAATCTCCACCATAGTCTACCACAGCTAGAATGCTCAACAGTTGAAGAATGTAGCATTCACTTCCCAGCACCCATGTCAAACGGCTCACAACAAAATTGGCATCTAAGAGCACTTTCACACCGGCATATACCTCCATAGACATACACACATGGTGTAAAAAACAAAACAAAACAAAAAAACCAGAAAGTTGTTGTATTTGGCACAATTCCATATTTTATGTAGTATTTTAATTTCAGAAGAATACATCTTCAGAGAATTGAAAAGAATAGTCTTGCAACAGAAATCCCTGTAATCTAAGCCAAAGGCTAGAAAGAACAGATAGAGTGGAGGGAAAGGAAGTAGTGTTTGGAAGTACAGGCAAGCAAGCAGAGTCCTAACTAGCTGAGACAGTATGGAGACTACTTAAAGCTCTGAGGGTTGTGGCATAAGCCTTTAGCCCAACACTTGGTAGGCAGAGGCTGGTTGAGTTCTCGAGGCCAGCGTGGTCTACAGAGTGAGTTCCAGGACAGGCTCCAAAGCTACAAAGAAACTCTGTCTCAAAAACAAATAAGAGTTTAAATCCTGTTGTCAGTATTCTACTGCTTGTACCTAACTGAAAATATACAGTCAACATGTATGAAATAACCATCGTTTAATCAGAGTGGATTTATGTATGTTTTTTTGGGAAAAAGGGCTGCTCTGGAACTCACTCTGTTGACCAGACTGGCCTCGAACTCAAGTGTTCCACCTGCCTCTGCCTTTCAAGTGCTAGGATTAAAGGCATGTGCCTCCACCGTCCAGCTGCAGAATATATTCTTAAAATGGAGAATTAGGCAAAGGTTAAGGACAAAATGGATCTGTATAATAAACAAATAGGTAAAGATAGATGAAAGACACTATTAGCAAACCCAATTTAAAGATGCATGGCAGAGTAAATGGTAGGTATGGTTTTAGAAATGCATTTGTGCACTTTCATAACCATGGACTATCTGAAAGGTT